TATTGATTCCAAGGGGGTAATAACCCTCCCGGTGATCTTCGGCGACGGGCTCCATAGGGCCCAGCTCGAAGTGGAGTTCGTCGTCGTCAACATTGACTGCGCTCACAACATCATCCTCGGCCGGCCAGCCCTCGAGGACCTCGAAGCTATCATCTCCATGAGGCATCTCTGCCTCAAGTTTCCCGCCGAGGGGGGCATTGGCTACTGCCGAGGGAACCAAAAAATCGCCCGCGCCTGCTATCTTCAGGTCACTAAAAAGGTAAGCAAGACGGAATTCCGTGTTGACACCATCACCGGAGCCGTCGACCAGGAGGACAGAAGGCCGAGGGCTGAACCGGCCGAGGACGTAGAAGACTTTGCGCTCGATCCGGCCCAGCCGGAGAGAGTCGTGAAGATTGGAGCCCAGCTCCCTGAAGATCTAAAGACCGGTATCATCGACGCCCTCCGCGCCTACTCCACTGTCTTTGCGTGGGGGCCGGAGGACATGCCGGGAATCAGCCGAAGGGTCATCACCCACCGCCTCTCGGTGGACCCTTCGGCAAAAGCAGTACAACAGCGAAGAAGACCCCTCTCCGCCGAGAGGAGGGAATTTGTGAAGAAGGAGGTCGCCATGCTCCTCTCTATTAAGCACATCAAGGAGGTAAAATACCCCTCATGGCTAGCAAATGTAGTCCTCGCACAGAAGCCCCCTACCTTCCGCATGTGAGTGGACTACACCGATCTCAACAAAGCATGCCCTATGGATCCATTCCCTCTACCAAACATTGATCAATTGGTGGATGAGACCGCAGGGTGTGAGATCATGTCCTTCCTCGATGCCTTCCGAGGGTACCATCAAATATTCATGCACGAGGAGGACGCCGAAAAAACTGCCTTCATGACTCTCGAAGGCATCTTCTGCTACCTAGTGATGGCCTTCGGCCTAAAGAACTCGGGGGCCACTTACACCCGGATGGTGGCCCGGGTCTTTCAAGCCGTCCTAGGGCGAACCATGGAGGCCTATGTCGACGACATGATCGTCAAGAGCAAGCAATCTTCCAGCCATGCTGACGACCTCCGGGAAATCTTCGCCATCATGCAAAAATTCAACCTTCGGCTAAACCCGAAGAAGTGCACCTTCGGCGTCCAAGGGGGCAAATTCTTAGGCTACATGGTGAGCCGAAGGGGTATTGAGGCCAATCCCGAGAAGATCCAGGCCATCATCAACATGGAGCCCCCACGCAACGTAAAGGAGGTTCAACGGTTGACGGGCCGCCTGGCATCCCTCAACCGCTTCCTATCTAAATCAGCGGAGAAGTCTCTACCCTTCTTCCAGATCATGAGGAAGACGGTTGGCTTCCTATGGACTCCAGAATGCCAGGGGGCTTTCGACGAGCTCAAAAGATATCTATCTTCACCTCCTGTGCTCTCCAAACCCAAGGTAGGGGAGACCCTCTACCTCTACCTTGGGGTTAGCCCGGCGGCCATCAGCTCTGTGCTCATCCGGGAGGAAGACGGCATCCAACATGCCATCTTCTACGTTAGCAAGACCCTAAGGGAGGCCGAGCTCAGGTACTCCCCTGTGGAAAAAACGGTGTTGGCCATCGTTTGGACTGTCAAGAAGTTGGGCCACTACTTTCAGGCTCACCCATTTCAGGTCCTCACTCATCAACCCCTCGGCGCCCTCATGAGGAGCCCCACCAGCTCCTCCCGCATGGTTAAATGGGCTATCTTCTTGAGCCAGTACAACATTGACATCCGTCCAAGGCCTGCCATCAAGGGCCAAGCCCTAGCGGACTTTGTGACGGAATGTACCGCAAGGGCAGCCACGGACGGGGAGCCCTCGGCTGCCTCGGACGACTGGTGGACCCTCTACACTGATGGCTCCTCCGCGACCAAAGCATGCGGAGGAGGGGTAGTCCTCATTACGCCCGAGGGCTTCAGGGCCTACTATGCAATCCGCTTCTCCTTCAAGGTCTCCAACAACGAGGCCGAATATGAGGCCCTCCTATGTGGCCTTCGGCTGGCTGCCAACATGAGGGCTCGGCAGATCCACATCAAGTGCGACTCCAAGTTGGTCGTTGGCCAAATCTCCGAAGAATATGAGGCCAAGGAGGGAAGAATGAAGCAGTACAAGGAGGCGGCCAAGGAGTTGCTTAGGGTATTTGAGGCACACTCTCTCACCCAAATACCGAGGGCTCAGAACTCCGAGGCCGACATATTATCTAAGCTCTCGGCAGACTCCCCCGAGCACATATCCAAAATTGCCAAAATCGAGGAACTCAGCCTCTCAAGCATCCATGCAAGCCCCGTGATGAACATACAACAACGTCAGGAGGATTGGATCTCAGATATCACCGCCTTCATCTCCACAGGGCAGCTACCCGAGAATGAGGCCCGCGCTAAACTGGCAAAGCTGAGGGCTCCCAGCTACACCATCGAAGATGGGAGGCTCTACAAACGATCTTACAATGGCACGCTACTTCGGTGCCTTCATCCAGATGAAGCCGAGGTCGCAATGGAGGAAGTACACAGTGGCACTTGCTCAGCTCACCAGGGACCCTTCTCCATGTCCCGAAGGCTCATTCTCCAGGGTTACTTATGGCCAACCATGGCCAGGGATTGTGCTGATCTTGCCCGGAGGTGAACCGCGTGTCAACATTTCCAGAAAGCCCCCGGCAGGCCAGCGGTCAACTATGCCCCCATCAGCACATCTGTCCCTTTTTCTCGATGGGGGATAGACCTTGTGGGCCCTCTGCCGAGGGGTACCTCCAACAACAGGTACATCATTGTGGCCGTCGATTACTTCACCAAATGGGTGGAGGCTGAACCCCTCGCCAGCATCACGGAGGCAAAATGCCGTCATTTCGTCCTCAAGAACATCCTCACAAGGTTTGGCGTCCCCCAGCAGATCATCTCCGACAATGGGACACAATTTGAGGCAGCCCCCTTCTGTGCCCTTCTGGAGGCATGGGGCATCAAACACACCTTCTCCTCCGTTGCCTACCCTCAAGGCAACGGGCAAGTAGAGAACGCCAACCGGACCTTGCTCGAGGGCCTCAAAAAGAAGCTGGAGGCCGAGGGCGGTGGCTGGGTAGAAGAACTTCACAACATTCTTTGGGCTTACCGCACCACCCCTCGGCGAGCTACAGGTGAAACACCCTTCTCCCTCTGCTACGGTTTTGAAGCCAAAGCTCCTACGGAAGTCACCCTTCCTACCCGAAGGGTGATCCAATATGACCCCGAGGTCAACGACAGCAACATGGCCCTCGACCTGCACCTCATTTCAGAACGCCGGGAGCAGGCCTTCATCCGGGCAGAAAACTACCGAAGGCAAGTTAAAAGCTACATCGACGCCAAAGTTCGGACCCGGGAATTTCAAGTGGGGGACTATGTCCTCCGGAGGAGGGAAGCCAGCCAACCAACCGAGGGAGGAAAAATGGCACCAAAATTCGAAGGCCCCTACATCATAGCAGCCATCATCAAACCCGGGACCTACAAGCTCAAACGCCCCAATGGGAAAGAAGTCCCTAGGCACTGGAATGTACACCATTTAATTAAATTTTATCAATAATGTAAGAGCGGCCAAGCCCTCATAACTAGTGAATGTACTATCCTATGGCCCAAGGCCTCCAATTTCGAAGAATGAAGATACATTCAAGACATCAAGCCTTCATACTGACTACAGGCCCCAGGCCTCAACACCTACAACATCAGTGAAAACACCACGTGTTTTCAGTCAAGACCCCTCGGCACCAAGTACCAAGGGAGGGAACTCCTATCACCAACAACAAAGAACGCCATGTAATTCATTTCCCTTCGGCACCCAGTGCCGAGGGCACATCCCCACCTTCAACACCAAAAAAGAAAAGATGAGAACACCAAGTGTTCCTACAGAAGTGGGTGCCGAGGGTACACCTCCATCATCAAACATCATCAAAGAAGACCCCTCGGCACCCAGTGCCAGGGATATACTCTCCTATCAACTTCCAAACATTTGTCGGGAAACACCAAGTGTTTCATTTGAAGATCCTTCGGTACCAAGTACCGAGGGTAGGCACCTCCATCAACTACGATAAAAGAGAACACCAAGTGTTCCTACAGAACACCCCTCGGTACCAAGTACCGGGGGCTACACATCGAAACTAACACCAAGTGTTGTTTCTAAAGCCGTACCCCACGAGGACGCATATACCGAAGGCGCCACCATCGGTGCCGGCGGCACGTAGTGCCCCCGGCCATTTGCAACTAGTGTGCAAATGAAAACCCTTCCTTGAAACGCTTTCCGCGTCACTACCCCCAGGGTATGACAGGCATGAGAAATGCCCAGGATTCGACTTTCAAAAACGGAACGCTATCCGCGTCATTACCCCCAGGGTATGACAGGCATGAGAAATGCCCAGGATTCGACTTCCAAACCGAAACGCTCCCCGCGCCACCACCCCAAGGATGTGGCAGGCCACAGACTATGTCTAGCGCCGAGGGGACGACTTTCAAAAATGAGGCGCTTTCCGCGCCATCCCCCAAGGGGAGGCAGGTTACGGACCACCATATCTTGTGCCCAGGAAACGTCCCTCGATCCCCTCGGCACTCGGAAGGTTAACCCGAGGGAGGAGAGCCATTGGTGTATTCTGATGGTCTCCTAATAGGCCCAGCCTTACCAAGAAACCAAGTTTCTTGATGCCTTTCCTTCACCACCAACCAAAAAAAAAAAAAAAGGGGGGGGGGGGTGAAGGGGAGTAGACTCAGCGAGAAATCAAAGAGTACACTCCAACAGATCACAACAAACCGAGGGCTCCCCACGGGAACACCCCCGGTTACTGCAGGCTCATATTTCCCGAAGGATACCACTCAAACAAAGGTCCCATGACAAGGGTCAAATTCTACAACTTTTGAAGTGTATGCCGAGGGCACACACTCCTCATTGGCTTTCTTCACAACAACAGGATTCAACATCAATTTATGCTTAGAAACATTGATGTCCTGAAGGAGCAGCCCCGGGCACCCGAAGGCTACACAGGGAAGCAGCACTTGAAAAAAATTCTAAGTCCTAAAGATTGGGCCCCCGGCCCAATCAATATTACAGCCAAGGGAATATGGTGGCCGAAGGCTATGCAATACAAACAACACTTGCAAACAAAGAAAATTTCTATGTCCTAAAGATGGGCCCCGGGCTCAATTAGTATTGCAGCTAGAGGAATGTGACAGCCGAAGGCCATACATCAAGGAGGGATTCCATTTCCCGAAGGCTCCCAAGGGAGATTTTGCACTTAGAAGATTTTTCTAAGTCCTGCATATTTCCCCCCGGTCAACTACTCATACATCATGAAGGGATGCCATCTCCCGAAGGCTCCCAAGGGAAACTCTACACTTAGAAGATTTTCTAAGTCCTACATATTTCGCCCTCATCTCGAGGGACCTAATTGCTGAAGGCTACCTATCAATCGAGGGCTACAGTTCACAAGGAATCAACACTCAAGGAAATCTTCTAAGTCCTAAAAGAATTAGCCCCCGGCCTATTCAATATTACAGGTGGGGCTCCACAGTAGCCGAAGGCTACATGGCATACTACACTTGCAAAAATCTCTAAGTCCTGTGCATTGGGCCCTCGGTCCAACATTCACACATAAGGAATGGGCGCCATATCCCGAAGGCTCTCAAGGGGGAATCTACACTTAGAGATTTTTCTAAGTCCTAGGAGGTGGGTTACTACAAACGCCCGAAGGCCTCATGCTGTGCTACACTTAGAAAAAAATTTCTAAGTCCTAATTGCTGTCGAACCATCGGTTGCATATCCAGCAGAGGGTGCCCAACTACCGAAGGTTCCCAAGGGCTAGCTACAATCAGATAGTATTCTAAATCCTAAGACATACATTCAAAGGAACAAACACATACATTCAAAAATGCCGAAGGCATACATCCAAGAATAAAGGAATCGAAGGGAACAAGTCATATATACAAAGCCCGAAGGCGATCATTCAATCATCAAAAAGAAAGCAAGTGTAATTGCGATGTTACTATTACAAGCAGGCCGAAGCCGAGGGATAAATAATGTCATCATTACAAATGTATGTTTACGTGATAAAAAGTACATATCAACTCATGTTACTCCCGGGGGCCGCCTCCCCCGATGGCTTCGAGGTCACTTCTGCGTCGGCCTCAGGTTCGTCGCCCTCGGCTTCCTTCATGAGCTCAGAGTCCTCTAGGTCTGGCCTCTCGACATCGGGGGGAAGAGGAACGCGGATGTCTGGCTGCAGGGGGGAGTCCGTATGCTGCCGGGTCAAAGTCCTTTGGCTCGATCTTCAAGTGGCGAGCCATCCTCCGATAGATGAGGGCTTGAGTGAAGAACTCGCCCCCATCGTAGTATTGTTTACCCTTTCGGGAAACCCACTCCACGCCAGGCCCATCGCACCACTCGTCGACCGAGGACTCGACGACCGAGGACAGCCATTGCTTGTGCTCCTCGGACCGCCATCCCCCTACCAAGAACCCCGAGATTGCGTCCTCCCGGGCTCTCTCGACGGCTTCAACCTTCGCGGCCTCGGCTTCCTTGGCAGCCTTCTCCAAGGCCTCAGCTGCGGACCTCTCGGCTTCTGCCCTACCCCGATCCGCGGCCTCCGCTCGCAGGGTCATTTGCCGAAGGCTCTCCTCCAGCATGGCCATCTGCCGCACAGCGTCTGCATTCTGGCGGATGAGCTCCCGCATCTTGGCCTCCTGCTCGGCCTTGCGAAGGCGCCACTCCTCTAGCCGCCGGGCTTGCTCCCCGAGGGCAATGCAGGTCTACAAAAACAAAGGGGTTAGCAAGGCCAAATATGGTTTCTGAGCTCCAAGTAAAACGGAAAGAAATAGGCGTGAAAGACTTACTGTAAGGGAAGACCGGAGGATCCTGTCCTCGAGGGCTTCGTCTTCATCAGCCCCGAGGGCAACCCTGTCAATCTCGAGGGTGATGCCTCGCAGAAGCGCCCTCGGGTCGGCGGTACCATTCATCACGGCCGTACCAGCCGGGAGGGAAACCATGAGGACCTCGGAAGATGGCCCCTGAACTCCCGACGGCACCTTCGCCACCTGCATGTCCTCATCTGGCCCGGGGGCAGGGCCTTCATCAACAATGATCACCGAGGGGGATTTCTTCCCGGCATCCCCGGTCTTGGGCTTCTTGCCCTCGGGATCTCTGCCCGAGCCCTTCCTTTTGGCGGCAGCAGCAGCATCAGCGCTTGGGCCCGCCGACGGCCCCTTCGGTTTTTTGAAGAAGTCACCGGCGGGTTTTGGGACACCGGCGTCCGTCCCCCTCGGGCCCTTGGAGGGTTTCTTCTTCTTCAAGTCTGCAAGGCCTCTAACATTCATCATTTTCACTGGGACACCTGCGAAGAAACAAAGGAATGGGGTTAGAATCGAGGGGACGCTGACCGAAGGCACAAAGAACAAAATAAAAAACAAAAAAAAAAACGAACAAGATAAGCTATGTGCTAAGGGACCTCGTAGACCTCAGCAAAAACGGGGTACTTCTCATCCGCTTCACCAATAAACCGGTATCTGCGAAAGCCGAGGGCGTAGAATCCCTTGTCGGCAGTATAGTCTTTAATGGAGACCTGCTTGGTGCGACCCTCCGGGATTTTTGCTATCACCAGGCCGTCTTTTTCAAGGGCGGCGCTTCCAACCTTCGGATGCCGACGGAAGCGATCCCGAAGTTCCGCCGGGAATGGGTTCTCAGCAACCCTGACATAGCACCAGCGCTCCTTCCAGCCCTTGTTTGACGAAGGCGCCTCCGTAAACAGCTTCCACCTGGCCACCTGCTGCAGGTTGGCGAAGCCCTCCGCATTCGCGTGACCCCCTCGACAGAGGTTGAAGCTCTGGAAGAACAAGTCCAGGCTGGGGGTCACCCCTCGGTCCCTACAGAGATTTAGGAAACCCGCCACGTAGGAATGGCTATTAGGTGTCAGCTGGCAGGGCACCAAGCCGACGAACCTCAGGTACTCCCGGAGGAAGGGGTGCAGCGGGAACCGAAGGCCCAAGGATACCGACAGCACGTGTACTGCAATGCACCCTTCGGGCGTCCGAGAGAGCACATCGTCAACTCCTGGCTCGACCACCTCGGCCGAGGGCCCTACATGTAGCTGCGTCACGTAGAGGTCCGCCCTGTCCGCCTTCGACTTTATTTCCAGGGCAGCCGTGTTGAGCCAGGAATACCCCTCCGGCATATCTACGGGCTTCCCCTGATCAGCAGCTATGACCTTCTTCTTAGGGACAGCCGCCTTGGCCTTCTTCTTCCCGGGGGCCACCCGGATGGGAACCGCGTTCAGCGGCTGGGAAGTACTGGCCTCACCAGCACCCCGAGGGGGAAGGACGGCCACAGTGACCTTCGCCCTCTCCTTCTCCTCCTCCTCTTCAGCAACTTGGACGGCGAGGGCCAACTCTTCATCCTCGGCAGTTCGCTCGAATTCCTCCGCCTCGGCCTCAGCCGTCAGATCTTTCTGCACCTCAGTGGCGAGGGCTGCATCACCACAATCCGAGGGCTGATCACTGCTTGACTCCACATCGGAGATGCCTTCGTCCTCCATCGAGGGCGTCCTCGAGATGTCCTGAGAGTCACTCTGGGACGACATTCGCTTTCTTGTTCGAGGGCTCGTAGACGGTAGTGTTTCCTAACTTCTCTATCTCCTAAACTAAGGGCACAGTACAGCTATGCTAGAAGGAGAAAGGCAGGGAGCACTGACCTCGAAAGCTGAGTTTTGGACCGAAGGCTGAACTTTCTCTCTCTAGAAAAATTGACAGAGCTTCGCTAACAAGTTTATCGCACACGGAGGAATGCCTGGCCTTGGGGTATTTATAGGCGCTGGAATCCGGGCTTGGGCCTGGGTTCCGGGCCTCCGGATGGACGCCATCATTACGCGTTGTCGTTTCACCCAACCGGTGACGCCGCCCACGAACAACCAGCCATCACACGCCACGTGTGCCATCCCCCCTACGGCTATATCCTGTCGTTACGTATTCCAACGGCTATATTTCCAACGGCTATATTCTGGAAGCCCCCGGGTTTTCTACTTCACTCCACTTCATCAAAGACAGCCTCCGGGTACAATCACTCAGAAGTGCCCCCGGGTTGCGCCCCACACAGCACATAACAGACGCCTTCGGGATCACTCCTTCAGAGACCCAGGGCTTCATAGCAGGACACCCCCTCGGGGATTCCCCCTCAGCACTGCAAAACTGGGTAGCCCCCGGGGAGTTTCCTCATTGACGGATGGGGAGCCCTCGGGTATCTTCATCACCAACAAATCAACAAACAGTGGACCCCCCGGTAAACGCTTCACTGCTGCCCTCATCTGGCAGGCCCTCGATCTCTGGATTGAGGGGCTCCCCTTCGGCGCCACCAGGACATCAACAGCGAGCCTTCGGCTAATCAACACAGGAGCCCTCAGAAGAGAGAGCCCTCGGCATTCCCGCCATTCTCCATTTTGTACCAAGGTTTGACATTTTCGATTCATCATTGGGGGAATTCGGTGCACTCTTTTTCCCTCGTTAGGATTTTTTCCCAAAGGGTTTTTCCTAATGAGGTTTTTAACGAGGCATCCCGCCAAAATGAAACGAAAAGCGTCAGCCTTCGGCCCACAACAGCAACGTACCTACTTTACTCCTTTTCACCACTTTACAAGTGCCTCAAGGAGTGGGGGACTGGAGGACCCCCTCAGGAAAATCATTAAATTACAAAATCTGTGAAAATCCAACAAACAACAAAGCAAGCCCTCAAGTCCCGACATGTGGGTAACTGAGGGACTACCTTCGGCAGGGACATAAGAGCAACAACTCCTCACCAACTTCAGAGATCACGACAGGACAACATCAAAGGGCAAGCACAAATTACTCCTTTTCCCTCAAGTACCTTTCGGCAAAAGGAGTGAGGGACTCCTGATGGAGTATATGGCCCGGGAACCCCCGGCCCACAGACTCCTACTACTCCAGCAAAGGCCCAACAGGCCCAACAGGCCCAAATCACAGCGCCCAGAGTACCAAGCAGTCCGCACAACGCACAGGGGTGCCTTCGGCCCCCTGGCCGAAGGCTCCAAATTGTCACAGAGCGGGTTTCTCAAGCAAACTAAGAAACTGGGAGAAAACGGCGAAAACAGCAGCCCTCGGCACTGTAAGCCCTCGGCACCAGGGGTGCCATCGGGAGGGAGAGCCCTCGGCTACTGCTCTATAGCCGAAGGCATCTCACTCGACAAGATATCCGCTTCACATGCGTACAGATCACCGTACTCTGCACAGACGTCTCATCCAACAGCCGCATTAAATGCGGCCACATGCGGCTGCCAGCGCCAACCAGTAGAGGTGACCCCTCAGCCAATGAGCGCCTGACACGTGTCCCTACCCGGCATTTATTGCTACTATAAATAGCACCTCATTTCCCCATTTGTAACCACGCAAAAAATACATATTGAATATACACTCTCTCTCTTACTTGTTCGCTCTGACTTCTCTCTAAGTTATTCCCCGTAATAACCCTTCGGATATATAGCCCCGGGTAGACTATCCATCAAGTGCATTCCACAGAATCTCCTAATATATAAATTAAAGCTTAAGTTTTGAAAGCATAAATCTTTTACTTAGATTAAGAAAATCTATTTAAATATAATGTTTAGAATTATATGAATATTGTATAATGAAATGTGAACGTATTTCAATGTTTAAATTGTAGGTTGATTTTTACTGTATATCTGAAATTGAAGTATTTTTTTCAACAAGATCAATAAAAGTGTATAATATGCATACTAATAATGAGTTTTTGAAAGCAACACAAACCTTATCTCTATATAAATTTCTATTCATGACGTCTTCTAAAGACCAAGAAAACACCGCATTAATCAAGCCTTCTCCCTGGACTCTGCTCATATTTGCAATACACCAAATGAATATCGATCTTCAATGGCTCAAAACTTTCTTCTTTTTACCAGATATTTTGCATTAATCAATCTCTTTTAATCATAGCTGAGCACCAAATATATGCACGAAGATATAGAGAGACTCGGAAGAGAGAGTCCCTTCAGTTTCCACTGTGTTTCTTTCTAGGAGACTGGGACATTCTTCTCCTTTAAGAAAGGGGAAAACAAAAGTACGTACATGGCAAATTATGTAGTAAAACACATCATTGTGTGGTAATTGATGAGTTGTATTCAAGTAGACATTAGATAGTTCCAAGAAAATGAGTAAATATAGTTTAACAAAAGTATACTCGTAATAAGAGGAAATAGGGAAATCTTGCAATGCGTGTTGTCGTCCTAATATACTACAAACTTAGGGGTGTCCCCAACAATGAGTTTTGAAATTCGAATAGAGTCTACGAGATTATCGTAGAATGTTTTGTATGCAGAAATCCACCAAAAACCATTAAAATTCATCTAAATAAGTAATAACAGAAATTGATGGAATGATCGATAACACCTTGATATTCATAAATTCCATAGAAATTCAAATTGGGAACACTTGATTTCTGACGGAATTCTAAGCTCTATTAAAATCTTTCAGAATCCATGTTGGGGACACCACTTTTAATTCTCTTTATGTATGATTTGATCTAATTTGAAGTTGTAACAGGTAAAAGTTAAAACTTATTTTAGTTTACGATAATAAAATGATGATAGTTTTATGATTAACAATACTTTAACAAGTATTAGTTATCATAATATATATTTCTAAGGTACAATTGAAATTAGAAAATGTTAGGTTTTGTGAATGAAACGATATTAAAACAAAAAGGGCGGTAGCTGTTTGGTAAAGAACTAATTATTTGATTTAGTTTCATTTAGTATACAAGCTGCTGCGATAATTAATGCTAAAAGGTTTATAGACTTTTCTCAAATAATACTATTTAATGTAATTTCTAAAGAAATCTTTTATTTTGAAAGAATCTCTTAAAAAATCTGCCTTGTGTACAAGAAGGTAGATCTGCCTTGTGTTAGGGATTCGTTGGGGGTGTAGGTAAGAGTAACGGTAGTTCAGACGGTAAATGACTTCTGTCTCATTTATTTTATTTCCGACACTCATATGGTAGGTTTGGATTAATGGCATACATATTTAAAGTATGGATTATTTTTGTTTAATTGATTAAAGCATGGATTATTCTTATCAATTTTGCCTAAAATGATTGATAAGCTGAGTATATGGGTTATCAAACGATCACTTAGAGCTCTCTTGGTAACACTAAATTAACTGGAAAAACTGATTTTGCTGAGAATGGCTACATTATTGGCCGATTCTGCTGATTCACAAAAAAGATATAAATTATTTTGTATTGATAAGTTGTATGAAAAAATAGCTAAAATGATCATCTATAGTAACTCTAGTCAATACAGTCAGAAAAGTAACTTCAACCTTACTTTTTTTATTATTACACAATTTAGCGCGCAGAATCAAATGTTACGTGTTTGGTGAAAAAATGAATATAGAAAAAATGGGTTCTAAATTGCGTAGTTTGTATTTATACCCGTTATTAATCTTGTTATTTTATTAATAAAACATATTTTAAATATATATTTTCATAATTCAATATATATTTTCATAATTCAATAGACTCAACGAGTTCAGCCATTTTAGGTAGACCTTCATCGGTTTAAGCAGATTCAATCGATTAAGTAAAAAACAATATTACCATACAAGCTATAGAATTAACTGAATCTACTTAAATTGATGAAATACTATCTGAAGCGTCTCGATTTGCTGAATTACAGAAAAATTATATTTAATATTACTCGCGTGTCACGTCCCACTAACATTAGGACATGAGGGGGTCATGCGATTATTAAAAAATTGAGTTTATGTGGTTAATATTTAATTGATAAAGTATGAATAAAGTAAAAAAGATCTAAAGCCACATAATTTTAAAAAACACGTGAAGAAATATTTAAAATAGTACTTCACACTAACTTCAGTCATTTCAGCTAGAAAAGTAACTCTCATCATACTTATTTTGATTATTACACAATTCATCGTGGTAAATAAAAAAGATGTATTTTGTAAAAATGTGATTGATAAGGCTTAAAAATTGAAAATAGAAGTTATCAAGTGGGTTCTTTATAACGGGACTTGTTACTTAATTTTGAATGTTTCCGAATTCCGACGAAGTATATTTTATATGTAAGAGCTGAATCTTTTTTCTAGTGACTCAAAAAATGTTGGAAATTTTAATGTCATCAGTCTTAGTTAGATAAATTGTGGGCTAATGTATAATATTTTATTATTTCTTTTTCTATTTTTTTCTTTACGTTTTGTTTAAATAATAAATACAAGAAGATGAGATGGAATACTATTTTCATTTTCTATTCTAAAATACAGAACATGATCAAATAAAATGATAAACATTAGACCAAATCAAATCGAACTGAATTGAACCTAATAATTTTCATTTTGGTAAACTGATCTTCAAAACAAATCACACCGAAACCGAACCGAAATACAAATGGTTTTAGTTTGGTATAATATCTCCCAAACCAGATAAACCGAACCGAAATCGAAGAAAACCAAACGTAAATCGAATTGCCCACCTCTAGTACCACCTACTTGTCGGTCTGGTTTCATTGGTTTCGGTTTTAGAAAATGTGAAACCATAAACCGAATCACATTACTTAAGTCGGTTTCGGTTTAATTAATTTTGGTCAGTTTTTGTCGTTTTCGGCCGGTTTAAGCATGTTTCTGTCGGTTTTTGCCGGTCTATTTTTTTACCCCAAAAGGCGAACGTGTAAATTGAATCGTCAATGGTTAATCGGCTTTAGTCGGTTTCGGTTTGAGTCCATTTCGATTTTGGTCGGTTTTGGTTTGAGTCTATTTCCATTTCTCTTCTTGTGTTCACTCCCAGCTGCTATGCAGTTATCCAACTGATCGCAAATCGCAATAACATTCACAGTTCTGCTCAAATTCGTAGTCTAGGTTTCCTCCTTCCAAACAAAAATGCCGCCATTAATCTCTCTGCAACTCCGACGGCAGCTTCTTCACCACCTCTTCTCCATCCCCTCTCAACCCCCATTTTACCTCTACACACCCCTTTAGATTACCATTCACGCTCTCTAACCCATTCACAACCCAAACCGCAGATTCGATTGCTCAATCTCTTTCCAGCAATTCAGACCCTCTAGAGATTACCCAAAGACTCAAGCTTCACTTCTCTCACATCAAACCCACCCCTCTGTTAATCACCCAAACTCTGAATATCTCCCCGGAGGCCGGCCGTTCTGTTTTAGGGTTTAACGATTGGGTTATCTCCCACCCCGATTTCAAACACTCGGATGAAACGCTCTCGCACTTCGTCGATTATTTCGGTCGAAGAAAGATTTCAAAGCTGTTCAAGATTTGCTGGTCAGTGGTAACATATCTGTCGCGGGCCCTAAAACTCTCCACTCCTCCATTGATAGGCTGGTTCGTGCTGGTAGGCCCACTAAAGCTCTGGGTTTTTTCGAAAGAATGGAGAAGGAGTATGGGTTCAAAAGAGACCAAGAGTCGCTGAGATTGGTTGTGCAGAAGTTGTGCGAAAATGGGTATGCTAGCTACGCGGAGAAAATGGTGAAAGACTTGGCCAATGAGATATTCCCTGACGAAACAATATGTGATCTGTTAATCAATGGTTGGTGTGTTGATGGAAAGATCGATGAAGCCAGAAGATTGGCTGGGGAGATGTACAGGGGGGGCTTTGAGATTAGCACAATGGCCTATAATGCAATGCTTGATTGTGTTTGTAAGCTTTGTAGGAAAAGAGATCCATTTCGGCTTCAGTCTGAAGCTGAAAAGGTGTTGCTTGATATGGAAACTCATGGAGTCCCAAGGAATGCGCAGACTTTTAATGTGTTGATGAATAATCTTTGCAAGATTAGGAAAACAGAGGAAGCACTTGGTCTGTTTCATATGATGGGGCAATGGGGGTGCAATCCCGATTCAGAGAGTCATTTAATTTTGATCAGAAGCTTGTATCAGGCAGCTCGAGTCGGGGAAGGGGATGAGATGATGGATAGGATGAAGTCTGCTGGGTTTGGTGAGAAGCTTGATAAGAAGGAATATTTTGGCCTTTTGAAGATATTGTGTGGGATTGAGAGGGTTGACCACGCTATGACTGTTTTTGAGAAGATGAAAGCTGCAGGCGATGGGTGTAAGCCCGGGGTAAAGACTTATGATTTGTTAATGAGGAAATGGTGCGCTCATAATCGCCTTGCTAGAGCCAATGCTCTTTACAATGAAGCCTTGATGAATGGCGTCCCCGTGGAATCTAAGCCGTCTTTTATGATAGATCCAAGATACGCAAAGAAAACTGAAGCTGTGAAGAAGGAGAAGAAGAGGGAGAGTTTGCCTGAGAAAATGGCTAGGAAGGGGAGACGTCTTAAGCAAATTCGACTGAGTTTTGTAAAGAAGGGTCAGGGGCCAAGGCGCTTTGCCTAAACTTGCCTTACTGAGATTTTAAGTGGAATGACACTTCCCATTGGTGGTAAGAAATGTTGTAATTTGTAAAAGATCTGAGTGATGCTTCGGAAATGTGGATTATCAAATGGGCACTAGGTCTATACTCCTTAAATATGCCAATACTTTGCAATGTTTTAAAATTTTTTAGCATATGAGATTGCAGTTTTTTAAGTATAATGTCTCTCTACGTAGTCTGAATCTTTAGTTTGTATGAATATACAGGCACAAAGATGTTGGAAACTGATCAGACTAGGGGAGACTGTTCAAGTTGTTTGCACTGAGAAAAAGTGAATAATTTTGGTATGTTTGAAGAAAAGGAAGCTCTATGTTTCGAGTGAAGAATTTGGAATAGGTCATTTTGATCTTAGCACATACGTTCTTCTTTATTATAGGGCCTAATTTTATCATGTAGGAGAATGATGAAGATATGTTCCTCAATTCTTCTCCTTCTCCCATCACTAATCTCACAAATCTTGAATGCAAAGAATGGTTAAATTCAGTCTGTGTAGTAGTTTAGTTTTTGTTGTTGACATTTTTTTTGGCAGCACTGGAGGACTGTTATAAATTTTATAATCTATCCTTAAAATTTATACATGGTTGGGGGGAAATTGAGAGATGATTAAATCGAAACAAATATTCTAATTAAATAGTCATTATCTAGTACTACCTCCGTCATGGTGGACTTTGTCAAGTGCAAAGTAGGTGAGAAATAAGAATAGTAAAAACTGTGTGGTTGAGATTTGTGCAAATGAGTGAGAAATGTGCAGAACCACAAATTAGTTGCTTTAATAGGAAAATGACAAAGTTTTTTGGGACAACCAAAAAAGGAAAGTTGGCAAAGTCCAATGGGACGAAGGGAGTATAAAACTATCAAACAGAAATACATTATAAAAAACAAAAAAAAAATATAAAACCTCGCCTAACCCTCACTGTCCCCTGCAAAATGCACCAACCAAACAAGCCCTATGATAGATGGTTAGGAACTTCAGTTACACACATCATGCTAGTTAACCTTATTAGCTCTTCAGTCTCTCCATCCATTTGCACATCATCTTTCTTCATCCATTCAGCAACATTGAGTGGCAGTTTACCAGCTAGGGGTGGATTTGGTTCGGGCCACCCGGCCCGTGATCCGGCCCGTGACCCGGCCCGGCCCGGTACTGTGCGGGCCCGGGACCGGCCCGGTCGGGCGGTCCGGGACCGGGTGTGGACCCGAACCGGTGGGAATGGACGGGGCGGGCACGGTGCCGGATAAATGTGACCCGGCCCGGGTCCTGGCGGTCTGATTTTTTTTAAAAAAATTTTGAATTGGGCTACTAGCCGTTGGGGGTGGGCTGGGGACAACCCAAACGGCTATATAGCCTTTGGGTGGGGTGCAGGGGGGGTCCGGGGGGTTGGGTGGTGGGGGTGGTGGGGGGTGGGAGGTATAAAAACCTATAAATACTCCTAATCTTAAACATTTTTTCATATCTCTTCTCCAATTCTTCCTAAATACTATTCTTAACTCTCTACTCTCTAATTCTCTTATTCTCCAATATATTATATTTATTATTTATATATCTACTTTATAGTTTATACTTAAGAAGTTAAGATGGAAAATCAAGATGCCATTATACGGTATAATTTTGATAAGCAGAAGGACCCGAAGATCGGGATGTGGTACGCAATTTGCAAATGGTGCGAGAAAAAATGTAGCATGGGGGTTTCAGGCGGATACGGGATGGCAATCAAGCATATGAAGTCATGTGACAAAGCCAAAGGATCGGGAGTTGCGGGAAGTTTCGATTGATTACAATTTTCAAAATGTTTATCTCTTAAAGTTTGTTTTAATTTTCAAATGTAGTTCCTATTTCATTTCAAATAAATGCACTTGAAGTTTATTTTTAATACTCGTATAAAACTATAAACTATAAAATATAAATTATATAAAAAAAATTAACCGACCCGGCCCGAACCGGACCCGACCCGTGACCCGGACGGGTGGCCCGGCCCGAACCGGACCCGTCCAACCCTCGGGCCGGTCCCGGGCCAATGTCATACAAACCGGCGGCCCGACCGGGCCCGACCCGACCCGAGTCCATCAATATGACCAGCTTGATGAAGTATAACTATCAAATCATCTGCAATCCAACATTACCTTGCTCTTCAATTACACCAAACATATCTTGTACAATCTTCACATTGGGGTCCCACTTCTTGACTTCTTGAACGAAGTGAGAACTTCATTCATCTTCTTATGTTTCATATAACCCCACGCAGGGCCGTGCCTTCCTTTAGGCTTGGGCCTCAGGACCCAAAAAAATTAAAAATTAGGAGCCCAAAAATTTAAATACTGAAGTATGTATTAAAAATAGGGGCTACACTGTTTGTCTTAAATTGTCCGCTATAGAAGTAACAAAACAGGCGGAACTATAGAGTTATCAATCAAGTAGTGAAGTGCAAACCCGAACTCCCAAATTTACTGTTATGTTATTATTTCCCAAAAAATCAGCTTTTATTGATTTACTAATTCGATAAATTATTGATTTGTGAACGATTGAATGACTAATTTATTAATTTCTATTTTCTAATTGCTATAAATATTGACTAATTCTTATATTATTGGTTAATTTCAAGTATCTTCATAAACAAATGCTATTTATAAATTAAAAGCAAGTTGAGTCTTGCTTGTTTTACAAAGTAGTCAAGCAGGGTCGTGCTGAACTTTTCTCACACGGTGTTAAACTGTTAATGTGCAAGCTCATTTCATTTCATTTCATTTTCATTTACCCCAGTGCCGCAAAGGCCTCCCACCTACGGTGGGGTAAGGGGGTCGGATGTACGCAGTCTTACCCCTGTACTAAAGCACATAGAGACCGTTTCCGGATGACCTATAGTGAAAATCCCGTCCAAAATTGCATGGACTGACTGTTGCTTCATAACAAAGAAGCGCAGACAGTTTAGTGAGCCATTTTGTGCAAGCTATTAAGATATTTTCAAATGTCATTCTGCTTCTTGTTATTGTTTATAATAATGTTATCTTCTGGAAGTTGTTAGAGTTGAACTTATGTTATTTGGTGTGCACGGCAGCAATTCTTACTTATGTCACTACATGCTGGGGCATCTGATTACAGAATACAACAAATGGAAGTTTTAGCTCCAGTGGCAGCCATGTTCCTCGTTCAATCTGTTGTAATGATAAGGATGGAGGTGCTAGTGGACCCAAAAGACTGACCACCTTTGTATATAATGTTGGCAGTTCTAGTAGCTCTGATCTAGAGAATGATGAAAGTAGTAGTCAAAGCTGGAAGATTTTGAATTAATGCTCAGATATATCAGAATCATCTATCAGTAGAGAAGATTACAACCAGGATTCATATTCGATTTCAACGCTTCATCTTGAAGTTATCTTTCCGATCAACTGCAAAGAGCAATGTCAATATTTCATCCTCTAGTTACCTCTCAGATCAAATGCAAAGGGATCAAAGTTCTGGGGAGTTCTGAGGTGAAACATTTAGAGAAGTCTTAATATCTTTTGACGGTCAAGGATCTCAGGATTCAATTGGTTTGTGGAAAATAACATCATTTATTGACCCGTCTCACCCTGAAATCTTAAGAGAGAGCAGTGGTAGTCATTTGTCATTCAATAATAAGGGGACTTGTAACTTAAGCGATATTGGCTTGAATTTACAAAGCATTGATGCCGTACATAAGCAAGAGGATGAAGCCCCCGCACATAAGCAAGAGGATGAAGCTTCATTACCTCTATCTTGTGCACATTTGTTTTAAATGAAGGACACCATGATGTGAAGTTCCAAATGTCTGTGAAAGCGAATATGGTGAATATAAAAGCTTTAACTCATTTTCCAGTGAAGAAATGGTTGAGCACTTGTAAAGAATTGAGGATGACATTCTGAGTAATGATGTAGAAATTTCTACTTTCGGTTCTGTAGAGAGCAGCACAATATCAAATTTCCTGTCAATGAATTTTGATGATGAAGCAGGTGGGCATCATGGTTCCTCCCAGAATAGTGTCAATTTTTTTCAAGTCAAGTGAATGACTTGGAGCCAAGCCTCCATTCAGAAATATCAGTCAGATGCCAAAACCATGTCCTGGCATGGAATATGAAACAAACAAGGAACATTACCTTTCTGTATCAAAACCTGCGTCAGTTAAACAATTACTACTTATAATAAATTTATGTGTATTTGCTTATTAAATTCCCTTCAGTTTAGATGTTCATCTCTTTATGAAGGACCCTACCAATTTTTACAGTATTTGTTGTAGTTGTCGGGATATTGGGTTCGTTTGTTTTTTAGCGTTTGAATGGAAACGCCGTATCAAATCGCTGCAATTTATAGCGTTTGATGTGTTTAATATGTTAGCGTTTTGATTGAACCGCCAGCAGCCAAACAAGGGCATTGACTAATTTTAGGCCTCGTTTTGGTAGCTGTATTCAGCTTACTAGTATTTCACCCGTGTGTTGCACGGGGTGTAAAATACTAATACTATAAATCTAAATCATTAATTAAAGATTATATTATAATTTATCGCTGGAATAAGAGTAACCATTACTAAATGCATAATAAAAAATATTTGAAGTTTAATATGCATACAATTTTACAAATTATTGAAGACTTCTTTGTATACAACATTTTTTGCGGTTTTTTCTGCTTTCCCTCGTCGTCACATATCATGAACTTCAATCCAGACGGACTCGTCACTCTCGAAACTCACTAGTCCAAAAACTGCATTTTATAACTAACATTTTATATGGGTTAGTATACAACCGTGATAGTATGTAGGCGCGGGGTTAAAATTGCAATTTTTGAAAGTTTATACCTTACGTTGGGCTTAATAATACACACATTCTATAACGGATAGTAAAATAACCGAAGTTAAATATAAAACCGGGGTCATATTCATAATATTTCAAAATGTATGCAGGTGAAACGGGGTTCATTTTATAAAATTGAAAACTACGGAGTATTATTAATGTCAGTGAGATATGTTGCCCCTTATTAAAGTATTTGATTTTTATTCTGACCGCCTGAGTCCTGACCTACTACAAAAAAACAAAGGATGAAAATTTCCCGCTCCTGAAGACCTAGCGGAGCTACAAGAAGATGTACGGTGCTGCAATACTCGTCCTCTAAGGTGACTTCCGGCTGCTCCTTCGCCAGTGATGACGCTCTATCCTCACGCCAAATACCGTATCATTACTCGTCATCTCTCTCCTTGTTGCCTAGCGTCGGTTCCACATCAGTAGTTATCAGTCTCTCCTCACCGTTGAACGTCGTGTCCACATCCGTTGCAGCGGGCTCTCTCATCTGTGCAGAATTCCGCTTCTATATCTGCATCCACAGACTCAATCTACAACATATCTTCTACTCTATCTAGGTAAAAACCAATATTTTGCTGCACACTAATTATGCAATTATTGGGTATACATTTTTGTGTTTTCATATACACATTTGTTTGCGGTTGGTTTGGTTCCTTCATATTTGATGTTTAGCTCATATACAAAATGAAATAATAGGGCTAAGAAATTAAATTTGTAATGCTTATCATCTGTTTGTAAAATTTCCTGAATGATGTTAACTAATTTGGATAGCACACATTCTCATTACACATAATATAGCATTCAGTTTGCAGTTTATGACTCAAGTGTTCATACATAATGTAGTTTATTATTTCAGTTTGCAGCTTATAATTGTTTGATTATATTGTGTTATTTGAAGGGATAAAATCAATGCTACTATGTCTTATACAGGAAAAAAAATTACATTTCAGCTTCTAATTTTTTTTCCTGACAAAGATGTTACATGAACCAAGTCAGAACAAAGTCAGAACAAACTTTCTCAAGGTTTTTTCACATTTTTTGATGACAGAGTGATTCTGATTTTGTGCTCTTGCTCCTGTGGCTCTTCCAGCCCATGTTTTGTTGTCTTAACCGCCTTATAAGTCATAACTAGAGGCTATTTACTTCCGAATATAGGATTATTCAATCAAGCCTGCAATTTGTTCATTTCAGTTTGCTGTTTATTAATATATCCTTTTGTTTCAGTTTGCACCTTATTAATAATGTAATTTGTACATTATTGATATTTCAGTTTGTTCTTTATTGTTTTGAATTTCAGTTTATTTAATCAAGGCTGCAATATGTTCATTTCAGTTTGAACATGGTAATTCTTAATTTGATATTCAAATTCATCCACTGTATCTTAATTATAGTCTATATCTTAATTATAGTCTATGAGTCTATCAAGCGTTTTGAGTGACCATTTTGGTTCAAACAGCATGATATAGTTTGATAACTGAATGATGTTATTGTATCCACTTCTATTCCAATTTCTTTTTCTGTATTTCAT